TTGGAAGAACAACAATCTTGAGCTTCTCAGCCAAGAATGGGCTTTTCTCTGCTTGAATCTTGATGAATCGCGTCTCAATATGCTGTTTAGCCAATATCCCCAAGTGTTTGTCCACTACCTGTTTTGTCAAAATATTCAAACAATCTTTAATCTAATTGCCAAACAACCAGTTTGCTCAAATCAGTTTCATATGATCTTAAGTAGCAATTTGCCACTTTCAAAACCTAATGTAATGCTCTTTATAGAATCTGAACCCTAAATCGGTTAACTTTGTGTAAGATACGCTCTTTTCTATATTCATTGGAGTTTTTGTCATGTTGATACTACTCTATCTTCTGATTTGCTAATAATTTCTAGTAGGATACTCTACATAAACCCTAAATGATAAACAATTGGGTTAATGAGGGGCATTTATGATTTACCTTGCAAGGCCAATTTTCACGATAGAAATGGCAAACAACGCGATCGCTTGCCTTAACAATGGAGAAAAAGTCCTTCTCGGAGAATATCTCAGAATAATCTCCATGGCCAAGGGAAATCCAACGGCTCCGCTTCTCCGCCATCTTCTTCATCTGTTGCAATCGGCGATCTCTCAGGACTTCAATATCGTCTAAATCCAACTTCTCCAAAGCCGCGATTTCATCATCGATCTTATCCTCTACAGCTTTCGCAACACTCAGCACTTGCTGCTCTATGATCTGAAACCAACATCAACATCAGGGGATAAAGTAATTCATATCAAAACAATGATAACAAATCGAAATGAAATGAAAAAAAAAATCACAAACCTCTTGAACCCTATTCTCCATTGGATTTGATTTTTCTCACCAACTTTGAAATTGAAATGAAGATCCCGATCCAGACGAGGGTTTTCTTATTCAAAATTTCGAGGGTGTTTGGGAGTGCTAGAACCTTGGAATACCACCTAACCAATATTTTTGTATCTGGTTCAGATTACTCTACGAGGGTGTTTACATTACATATGAGGTTTATCGATTCCAAAAAAAAAAAACAAAAATACCCACCCACTGTGTATGTATCACAGGGGTACCGAACCAGATAGACCCAACAAACAAATCGATTTGGTGATTAAACATACCCACCGTGTATCAAAGGGGTAAAAATCATACAAGAATTGAGTTGATAAAAACCAAGATCGGAAAAAACAAACCATATATTCATCAGAAGCAATGTCAACAGAAAAACCAACATCGGAGGTGGGACTTACCAGATCGGAAATGGAGGTAGCAGCCGGCGCCGGCAGCGGTGGTCTGGAGCGAGATCGGAAGAGGGTCACCGGTGGGAGAAAAACGGAGCTGTGGTGAAGAACGGAGAGAGCTATATTTAATTTTTTTTTTTTTTTTTTTGCTAGAACTACTTTTATTTTGGTACAAATTTAGCTTAAACGACTTTTAAAAAGCGGCAAAAAATTAATAATTTTCAGAAAACAACTATTTTTTAAAAACCAGTTTGAACCGGCCGGTCGAACCGGTTGGATCGGAAACCGGAGAAGGGAACGGTTCAACTATTATCGGTTTTATGTCGATTTCTGAACCGGATTGAACTGTCCGGTTTTAGAAAAATCCGGTTGAACCGGTTAAACACATAAAAACACCTAGAAAAGAACAATTTGCATAATAAACTTTGGTAATTTTTTTCAAATCTATTTAGGCTGTGTTTGGCGCGCCACAGCTAGCTGATAAGCTAGCTTATTTTTCGAGCTTTTTTATGTTGTCGTGTTTGGCAAGCCAAAAAGTAGCTTATAAGCTAGCTTTTTGAAAATCTACTTAGACTAGCTTTTTAGGAGCTTTTTTAAAATTTTCCAAATACACCCCTTAATTAATTATAGAAACACATACTCCTACATGTTCTTTTGTGTCGGTATTATACTTTATTTTCCTTTTGACGTATATGGATTGATGTAAAACATTAAAATTTTTGGTTATGTGTTTTTTAATGTATTTGGATTGATTTACAACTTAATTTTATGTATATTTTTAATGTTTGAATTTGTAAACGTCAAATCATTATTTATATATGTATGTATGTGTAGGAAAATATAAAAAAAGATGAAAATTATAGAAACTGGTCGAACCGACGGTTGAACCGGAAATCGGTCACCATACCGGTTCAACTAAGAAACCGATTTTTAAAACATTGGAAAATAGTCACTCATTTCGGTGGGATTAGTCACATCTATAAATATCCTAATTTTGGAGGAATACCTATATTTTCTATTTTTCAGATTATAATTTTTTTTTTGCAACGACCGAAGATATTACAATGTTCACTAGATCTCTTTGAAGTACAAACATAAATAAAAACAAAAACAAAACAAAAAAATCAAAGAAAAAAATTGATAATCTAACATTTATTATATAACTTTTATATATAATATAGTATAATTATACGAATTCATAATCAAAAATATTAGATTTCATAGTAAAATGAACAAAATTATAGTCAAACTTATATATTTTATTGGAAAAAATTAAGATTTTCGAGGGGAACTCAGATAGAGGAATTCGCAGGTTGAGCACAACCATTTGCTATTTATGTACAAAATAAAAAAAATTAAAAAGAGAACTTTTTATATATACTCATTTTTGTCGGGTCATAGGCAGAAAATTGGGCCAAAGTCGCAGTCTAACAACACACTTCGCAGCTGGAGGATAGCAAATAGCAGATGGGGTCTAGCCATCTACTATTTCATTCGCTGCTTTCGGGAAAAAAATGGTTTTTTTTTTTAAGTTATTAGTGTTTTTGGTTAAATTTGTAATTTTTATTTTATTTTATGTACATGCATAAATTATTTGTCACTTCTAACTGTCATTTCCTGGTTAATAAGTTCTTACAGTAGTTATACATTTCGAGAATCAAGGTTGGTATGTATCTGGTCGAGTCGGTCCTTGGCTTTGTTATTTGCAGACGTCAGTCGGTGGTAGTACGAACCCTAAGTGGGGGAGAACTGAATACGCTGATTGGAGGATCAACGAAATTTTCAGTTTTGTGGTTTTAGTGCAATGGATCAGAGAAATCTACTGTTTGAGCATGCGAGGTTTTTTTATTAAGGTTTATTGCTACATAAGAGAATGAAGGTAGGCTACCATTAGAGTGCTCGTAGCTAAGAAGTTTTCTCGTTGCGTTTCTCAAGGATTCGTCAGAGTCCTTCGTGGTCAGAGAGAATGTAACATCCCAAAAATCATGACCAAAAATTTCTTTTTTAATTAAGTAATTTATAAAACAGTTTACTGAAAACATCATCAATATCATATCAAACCCACAAACCCATAACTCAAATGTCATAAAACATGTCATGGAATAATAATGTCAGAGTACAATCCCAAGAACATCATGGTGCGGAAAATAATGGTGTGATGCGTTGCTACCGAGCCGGCTCCTTTCCCTTCGAAGAAGAAGGACCTGAAACAAAAATTGTAAATCGTAAGCACAAAGCTTAGTAAGTTCCCCCATCATACCACATACCATACATAACACATACTGTCTAACATATCTGGGTATTGACTACATCTTCGGTCTCTTTCAACCGGTAACTTGCCTAGCATATCAGGGTACTGGGCTACCCCTTCGGTCCTGTCGACCGGTACCTAGCCTAGCATATCAGGGTGTTGGCCTACCCCTTCGGTCCTGTCAACCGGTAACGGGGACTATTTCACCCCCTACTTCTACCACATAGCATCCTAGTGCATAACATATAAATCATATATTGCCTAGCTTATTCGGGTGCTGGCATATCCCTTCGGCCCTATCGACCGGTACTAGGGTCTATCCTACCCTTTCTACCATTATCACATATCATCATAACATACTAATACATAAACATAACATACCAGATAATTATCACAAAGACAATCATCTAACAAACATCTCCTACTAGTGGGCCGGCATTGTGGCCTTAGACCCACTTCTACTGGAAGGTAACTCACTTCGATGTCGTGCAGTAACTGAACTGTCATCGGTGTTGGGGTTAACTCCTGTCAAAATCCTACACATAACAACCTTCCTTAATTACCATTTCATACTCGTAACCCTTTCAAGGGTCAACTCAGGTCAAAGTCAAAGTCAAGGTCAACCCCCTGGTCAAAGTCATCTTTTGGTCAAAGTCAACATCTGGTTGACTCAACTCGCTGAGTTGGTCCACCAACTTGTCGAGTTCCCTCCTACATAGTCGGGACTTTTACTCCTAACTCGCCGAGATATCCTTGAACTCGTCAAGTTCTCCTTCATACAGAGTCGAGACCTTTTGCTCATGGCTCGCTGAGTTCATCCTTGAACTCGTCGAGTCCTACTTCATATCAGTTGGGACATTTGTCTTGAACTCGTCGAGTTCTTTGATCTTCAAGTCCATATCCACGTCTATCTTGTTGAGTCCTCTTCTAGACTCAACCAGATTGCTCAGAAACAGAAAGGTTGGGGAACCATGACCCGACTCGCCGAGTCCTATGAACGACTCGCCGAGTCCCCCAAAGTCCAAGTCCATACATTCGATTTCAGTCGGGCTTATTGCATCCAAAGCATAGATCTGGCCTCCTAGGTCGATATAACACGTAAAGCTACAAACTTTACGTGCATGCATGGGTGTTATGAAGCTAAAACACCAAAACTAAGCCATAAAGGAGTTCTAATGCATGGGATAGGGCCATAGCTTAATAAATGTGGCAACTTTAAGCTTCCTGAGCTCAAAAGTTCCCAGATCTGAAGTCATTACTCTATTATGCACTCAAATCTCGAGAGTGACTTAGAAATGGCCAAAAATGATAATATACGAGCCCTAAAGAAGATCTAAGTGATGGAAAGCCAAGTTATAAGCTTTATACCTCAACCAAGCTGGAAATGCAACCCAAGATCTGGATCTACTGCCCTCCTCTTGAATCTCCAAGCCTTTCCTGTTGGATTAGATGTCTAATCCCATAACTATTATTAGTATGTACTCGACCCCAGAGTAGCATGGTCCATTTGGGTTGCATGGCATCGGAACAATTGGATAGACAAATGAGAAAAGTTTATTTATGATTTATATTAATATATTATAAGTTCTAATATATTAATATGAAATCATATTATTTAATTAGTATTGATCAAGAATTAATTT